CATTGAAGGTAGGAATTCTGGTTCCATACCAAAGATAACAGCTGCTGAAATATCAGATTCTGGATTGAGCTGGGCAAATGTGTTTGATTTTGTATATCAGTTGGGTGGACTCGATATAGAACTGGATTCTACGTTTCAGACGGTTGTGATTGCTATCTCACAGATAGGGCACCTCGTGGATCTACCTTTAAAACAAGGAAGTGAAAAGGGAATCACAGCTGCTAGAAATTGGTGGGGTGAACTGAACATTCATAGTGAAATTATGCAGCAAATAACCGGGAACCATAGCTCTCTTCATTGGCAATCTAAACAGGAGGTTGGGAAGGACCCAACAGTGTCAGTACACCTGCTCATTCTGGCGGTGGTAGAGGTCAAGAGGATGGCCCAAGTGCTGAAGCTAAAGATCCAGAATGCTTTGTGGTACTGGGTAGGGAGAGGGGCTCGAATGAAGATGAAGTTGATAATCAAGGCTGACTCCTATTACCCACCTTGAGGACAAGGTGGTTGTTTAGGGGGGGAGTAATGATAGGAATTATTAATAAGTGGGCCTATTATTATAGATATTAATAAGTGGGCCTGTGATTTTAATAGAAGGAAGAGGGTTATAGGCTATAAATAGTTGGGAAAATAACTAATGAGGGAGGCTGTTATTGAATTGGCATTTAGGCTTGGAGAGTGGGCTTCTCGAACAGTCCCGTTGCTTGTACCCTACGTTGATCGTTTCCTTCAATAAACACTACTATTACTCCATTTCTCTGCAGATCTTCTCTATATTGTTACTGCTCTTGCTTGATTATTGTCAGTATTCTATCATATAGGGAGAACTTGCTGGACAGATTGATCTCTAACTGAGAAAAAAGGAGTTTGTTCAAAGAAAGTGACATGGATAGACATATAATATTTCTTATTCTCAGGAGAGTAACAATGATACCCTTTTTGAAGACGGGAATAACCTAAGAAAACACATTTGAGAGCCCGAGCTGAGAGTTTATCTAATCCTGGAGACATATCATGAACAAAACAGACACAACCAAACACACGAGGGGAAACATGAAAGAGAGGTTCATTAGGAAACAAGACAGAATAAGGGATTTTATTATTAAGAGAAGAGGATGGCATTCTGTTAATAAGAAAGCAAGCAGTTCAGCATCTCCCCAATGATGAACTGGTACATTGGCACCAAGTAATAAGGTACGGGCAGTCTCAATCAAGTGTCTATTTTTCCTTTCCGCTACACCATTTTGTTGAGGCGTATGAGGATAAGTGGATTGGTGTAAAATGCCATGTGAGCTTAAGAGGGAGGAAAAACCAGAGGAGAAATATTCCTTGGCATTGTCACTCCTTAAAATTTTGATTACTGTTCCAAATTGATTGCGAATTTCATTAAGAAAGCAGGAAAAGATAGACAAAAGTTCAGAACGGTCCTTCATTAAATAAACCCAAGTACATTTGGAATATTCATCAATGAACGTGACAAAATATTTGAAACCAAAAGAGGAAACCCGACTTGGGTGCTGTTCTGTTCGTCTTATTCTTATTACTTATTGCTTATTCTTATTTTATTCAGATCAGATCAGATCAGATCAGAAAAATTCAGATCAGATCAGATCAGAAAAATTCAGATCAGATCAGATCAGATCAGAAAGATTCAGATCAGATCAGATCAGATCAGATCAGAAAGATTCAGATCAGATCAGAAAGATTCAGATCAGATCAGACCAGATCAGAAGAATTCAGATCAGATCAGAAACATTCAGATCAGATCAGATCAGAAAAGTTCAAACATGATTTATCACTTTTATTATTATATTAAATATTAATTATTATTATTATTATTATTATTATTATTATTATTATTATTATTATTATTATTATTATTATTATTATTATTATTATTATTATTATTATTATTATTATTATTATTATTATTATTATTATTATTATTATTATTATTATTATTATTATTATTATTATTATTATTATTATTATTATTATTATTATTATTATTATTATTATTGTTATTACTATTATGATTATTATTATATAATTATTATTAATAATATTAATAATAATATGATAAAAAAAGATATTAATAATAGTTATAATTTTTTAATATAATAATAGTAATATAAATGCAATTGTTAAGAAGACTATTATTATTACAACATTATAATAATAATATGATTAATATTATTATAATATTATATTATAATTATATGTAATTATAGTTATAATTACAATTATAATTCTTATAATTATAAGTATAATCAATTGTAATTATTATAATTATATCTATAATTAATTATATTTATAATTTTAATTAATTATAATTACAATCATAATTATAATTATGATTATATTTATAATTATAATATAATATTATAATAATATAATACTAATTATAATAATAATAATCATATTATTATTATATTATTGTAATAATAATATTAATATAATAATATCGTTATAATAATATTAATTGTATTTATATTACTATTATTATATTATAATATTATAATTAATGTTAATATAATTATAATTATTATTAATTATAATTATAATAATTATAATTATACTTATAATTATATCATAATTATAATTTATGATTATAATTATTATTTTTATTAAAATTATTATTATTATTATTATTATTATTATTATTATTGTAATTATTTTACGGAGTAATTATAATAATATTGATAACTATAGTTACAATTATAGAGATAAATATTGTAATTATAATTACAATTATAATTATAATTTTATTTAAATTATATTTGTAATTGCAATTATAATAATAATAATTATAATTATAATTATAATTATAATCATAGAAATATTCGAATCAGATCAGATTAGAAAGATTCAGATCAGATCAGAAGGATTCAGATCAGATCAGAAACATTCAGATCAGATCAGACCAGATCAGAAACATTCTGATCAGATCAGAAAGATTCAGATCAGATCAGATCAGATCAGAAAGATTCAGATCAGATCAGATCAGATCAGAAAGATTCAGATCAGATCAGATCAGAAAAATTCAGATCAGATCAGATCAGAACTTAAAAAATTCAGATCAGAAACATTCAGATCAGGCGAAGAGAACAGCTTCTTGGTCCCCAAACATCAGAATGGATAATAGAAAATACAGAATTACATCTAGACTCAGAATAGATGGGAAATGAAGATCTAACATGTTTCTCGAGCTGACAAGACTCACACTCTAAGGTTTGAATACCGCTAAGTTCAGGAACCATTTTCTTTAATTTTACTAAATGTGGATGTCCGAAACGTTCATGCATTCCTGTATAACAAATGAATTAGCATCAAAGGTTACAGTACAATTCAATGACTTTGCTAATTGACTTAATGAAATGAGGTTAAACGGACATGTGGGGACAGAAAGAACAGATTTTAAGTTCAAGGTAGGAGAAAGGGACACTTGGCCAATTCCTTGGGAAGCTGTTTTGGATCCATTTGCCATGGTTATATGATGTGGGTGTTTAAGATGTGAGAGAGAAGAGAACAGAGAAGTATTACCAGAAATGTGGTCAGAAGCACCTGAGTCAATTATCCATGGATTTTGACTTTCTACTGATTGGGAAATGCAAGCAATTGATGTAAGCGGAGTTTTGGAAGATTCTGTTGAGTTGCTGGACTTTAGTCTCAAATACTCTTGGTATTCATTACCAGACAGTTTTGGATCAGAAACTTTAGATTTGGAGAAGTTGGCGGTTTTATTAGGAAACCCATGAAGAAAGTAGCAGTTCTCATGGGTGTGACCCATTCTTTTGCAATGGGTACATTGGGGACGTCCTCTTCCTGCACGTCCTCCTCTGTTTCCACGACCTCTTCCATGAAATACCATGGCTGAAAACTCTGCAGGTTCTTGAGACTTGTCACCCTTGAGAGTGGGAATTCGAAGGAGACGTGTTGTTAAACTGTCCATGGTTGGTACCTCAGGTCCAGTGAGGATTTGATCTCTAAAGTGATCGAAATTAGAGTTCATGGCTCAGAGGATCATTACCATATAAAATTTATCGAGTTTCTTCTTGATTTCCTCCACAGATTCAGCTTCTAAGGACATTTTCAGTTCTTTGGCAGCAGCTTGCACTTCGGCAATGAACGACATCATATCGTGATCTGTCTGTTTAAGAGATTCTAACTTGTCGGCAACATCATATAGGCGCTGAATATCATTTGCAAAGATCTCTTGGACTTTCTTCCAAAAAGTCTTGCAAGTTTTGAAGGTTCTGAGGGTCCCTAAAATATTGGGTTCTACAGACTGCCATAATAGAGCACACAACTGGTAATCTAAACTTTTCCATTTTTCAGGTACTTCCTTGATCTCACTTTCGTCTTTTTCAAGATGGTCATGGTACCCTTGTCCCTGAAACCAAAATTCCACAGCAGCTGACCAAGACATATAATTTTTCCTATTAAGCTTCTCTGAAGTGATAGAAGGAGTTCCTGAGAAGAGTTGGGTTGGACCGGAAGCCATAAAGAAACAACGACGTTAGGTCTGCGACGATGAGCAGCGGCCAGGGCTGGATAGAGATGGCAGAACCTGCTCTGATACCAACTTGAATAAAAGAGAGTTAAAGGAAGAGAATAATTTCCTAGTTGTGTGTCTGTCCACAACCCTGAACTCCTTTATTTATAATAATGAGTGTACAAGTACATTAATGAGAGTGAGGAGATGAAAGGTCAAATAAGATGAAAGATCAGTTCTAGAAAATACAGAGGAGTCTATTTAGCTACCAATAAATTTTGATAAATCTAACAAAGGTAAAGCCAAGTAAAAGAAATTAACTTTGGTTATGAAAATGATAGAGGCCTAGACAGTACTAGTAATAAGAATAATATCAAGTATCTAATATTGTACAGAACAGAGGGTTCTAGGCCCGGTAACTAAGTAGCTGATAGAGATGGGAATAAAGATAATAATAGTAAGTACTACGATAGAGTCTATTATAGAAGAGGAAGGAATAACAGTAGTAGTTAGTTAGTTGAGCTGGCAATTTCTGTTATTAGTTGAGAGTGAATAAATAGCTGGTTTTGGAAGTTGATAGCTAGGCTGTTAGACAGATATTTTGGGGCTAGGAGAAATTGAGACAGTCTGTCTCATTTCTTTGGGTCTCTGTACTTTCGTCCACCATTAATGTAAGCATGAAGTGTTTCTTGAATACTATTTTCATCCTTTTGCATTTGTACATACCTGCGTGAGCTCTATCAGTAGCTGTGGGCCGGACCTTAAAGAAAGGAGTATAATAAGAGTGGGGAGAGGGGAAAAGGGAGTTGTGCTGGAATTCATTTAGTGGGCTTGGGAAAGAGACACTGCTCTAAGAGTATCTTCAAATGCTACAATGTGCACGGTGCACGTGTGGCATGAGATAGACACAAAAAATTGAATTTTTGACATTTCACTTTCATTCTATCCACAGTTTTATGTGTTTTTGGTAAGTTTTCTTCTGCAATGTCAAGCACAATATCTACATCTAGACATTGTGTTTGACATTGTGAAGAAAAACTTACCAAAATGAAACAAGATCTTTCAAATAAGGAGAGAAATTGAAGAAGAAGAAGAAGAGACCGTACAAATTGAAGAAGAAGAAGAAGAAGAGACCGTACATATTGCTATTGTTACTCTGATGGTCGCCAATCTAGGGAAAAAATCCGCTAGAGAAGCGGATAATTGTTCTCCAGAGCCAAAGCCGTTGTTGGTTTGGTGGTTATGTATTAGATATTGATCTGCAAACTGCCATTCATGAAGCTTCAGCAAAAACTGCTATACCTTTGCAGACCAACTTAATAGCTGCTACTGCATTTATGGAACCATTGAACGAATGCACGTATGTGAACAAGGAGGATGCTCCAGGGGGTCCAGTTGAGAAGGATTCTCTTAGAAGGCTTTGGTCAAAGAAGGAAATAGATTGGACCACTAAGTGTTGGTCTTCTGGGATGACCGATCGGAAAAGGCTTAAAGATATTTGTGAACTTAGATGGGCGCTTGCAGTTGCAACAAAAGACGGTTCTTTTGTGAAATTTGAAATAAAGAAGGGTTCTCAGCACCTATTTGTGGAATCTCCTGGAGTGCATGAACTGAACTTTCATGAATCTTGTATTTTCTTCGGCAGCTCCCCTTCGAGAATTGATAAATCTGATCCATCGCCAATCTCTTTGAAAGGAGAGAATTATCTTCTGAAGGGTCAAATTCATGTAGACACAAGTTCACTTGGTGGTTCACAATATTTGCCTCAGAACATACAAGTTGATGTATTAGACACTGAAGGTTCTGTTGTTGTTCATATTGCTGCTGCAGACACTTAAACCAAATTACTATGTTTACAGAAGCGCTCTGAAACTAATCCTTCCATCACGCCTGAAGGACCTTGAAAATAAAGTTTGGAGGACAACTCAAAGCAGTGTGCAACTTCTTGGTGCTATTGCGTACTGTGTGCCACACAAGCTGTTCCAGTGCTCCCCCAAGGTAGTGCCAAAATTAACAGAGGTCTTGACCTACACCGACACTCATCCTAAAGTTCAATCTACTGGAAAGACTGCTCTTCAACAAGTAGGGAGTGTTATTAAGAAGCCAGAACTATCTGCTCTTGTGACTACTCTTTTAACTAATCTTATGGAACCCAATGAATACACAAAATACTCCTTTCCTACTACTTCAGACAACCTTTATCAACACAGTTGATGCTCAATCTCTTACACTATTGGTACCAATTGTCTATCGAGGCCTTAGAGAAAGAGGTGCTGAAATTAAGAAGAAGGCTCTCCAAATGGTTGGGAGTATGTGTTCTTTGGTTATAGAGCCAAAGGACATGATCCCTTACATAAGCTTGCTTCTTCCAGAAGTTAAAAAGGTTCTTCAGGATCCTATCCCTGAAGTTCGTTCTGTTGCTGCAAGAGCTATTGGCTCTCTTATAAGGGGAATGAGAGAAGTAAACTTCCCAGACTTGGTACCTTGGTGGTTAGATACTTTGAAATCTGATGGCAGCAATGTTGAGCGCTCTGGAGCTGCAAAGGGCCTAATTGTCTGCATGGGGTTTGGAATACCTCGAGACCATACTTCCGGATGTCATAAGAAACTGTTCTCATCCAAAAGCATCAGTCCGTGATGGCTATTTGTCACTCTTTAAGTATCTTCCACAATCTTTAGGTATCCAATATTCAGAACTATTTGCAACCGATTCTTCCTGCAATGATAGATGAACTGGCCAATGAGAGTGAATCTGTACGTGATGCTGCACTTGGTGCTGGCTATGTTTAAGTGGAAGCGTGGAGCATTATGCAACAATGCCTTTGCCTCTACTCCTGCCTGCAGTGAAAGAAGTGATGATGAAGGGTCAAATTCTGTAGCTCATGTTCCAGCAGTCAGTGAAGTACTGGGAAGGGAAATCAGGGAAGTACTGGGAAGGGAGAGAGAGGCGCAAGGATGAAGTTGATGGTCAGGGCGGTTTCCTACCTCCCACCTTGAGGACAAGGTGGTTGTCAAAGGTGGGAATAATATTAAGTATTTAATCTTGTACAATAAGAGCGGGGAGAGGGGAAAAGAGAGTTAGGCTGGAATTCAGTTAGGCTAGGCTTGGGAGAGAAAGACTGCTCTAAGTGTCTCACGTGTATTTTACTTTTCTGTTCATCTATTTTCAGTCTCAATATACAACAATTTACCATCAGATTTAGGAGTGTATCACAAAATTTCCCTTCTTCATAACATTTTCTATAATCCAAGCATACCCTTATATTGTCATCCTGAAGTCTTATTCAATTTTTTCTTTCTAACCTTTTTGTACATTGACAGACGGCTCAACAACAACAGCCTCACCGGTTCCATACCGATGTCACTAACTAGTATCTCAGCTCTCCAAAGTCCAAATCTTGTGAGCATATTTATGCGCTCCGCTTTGCCTCTGTTTCCCTCCCAAGCACTTAAGTTCTCACCCACAGCATGGTTGTATTTTCAGGGACCTGTCAAACAATCATCTTTCTGGTCGAGTTCCAGACAATGGCTCTTTTTCTCGATTCACTCCCATTAGGTATTTTACTAATTGGTCTAGCTGACATTTCTTTGAGTGTGCTTTCATAACTCATACATACATAATCTATGAATATGTACAGTTTTGCCAATAATTTGGCTCTTTGTGGGCCGGTTACTGGACATCCTTGCCCTGGATCTCCTCCATTTTCTCCACCTCCACCATTTATTTCATCAACCCCCATTCCTAAACCAGGTAATTGCTATAATTGTTGTTAGCAGTATGAATTATTTATTTATATATGATTTTGTATTCTTCGTTAAAAATGTATAAAATCAACCCACTTAAGTTCTATGTGCTGTATGAAACCTAAGATAGAAATAGTATAACTGGAGCTATAGCTGGAGCAGTAGCTGCAGGTGCTGCTTTACTCTTTGCTGTCCCTGCCTTTGCTTTTGTATGGTGGCGTCGCAGAAAGTCACAAGAGTTTTTCGTCTATGTTCCGGGTTAGTTATTACTTGAATACACATGATTATTTTTCTCACTTTTTGAAGATGTGAAACCATTTGAATGCAAAAGCTTAAGCTGAAGAACGATTCCAATTCTTTGAAGGAAAGAACTGTGTTGTGTATTTGTTTCTTTCATTTCTAAATAAATCTCCAACATATAATATCACCTTCTTAATCACGTGCCAAAACCTAACATGAAATTTATTTTCGAAAAAGGGATTATTTTTAATTAATATTCTTCAATGGGAGTTTCCAACTGAGAACCTTAGACTGCTTCATTACCATGTTAAAATTTACGATTTTTTTGATCTAAAAGGAAAAGCTCAAGCTGGTGATCTGTTACAATTCATATTATTTGAATGTTATTTTTCAGCACATTTTATGGCTGCTAATACTTTCCTGCTTGCCATTAAGGTCGAAAGAAAACTTTCCACATGTAAACCTTCCATTTTTGTATGAATTTGGCAGCGGAAGAAGACCCAGAAGTTCACTTGGGACAGCTCAAGAAGTTTTCTCTGAGAGAGCTACAAGTTGCTACTGATAGCTTTAGCAACAAGAATATTCTCGGCAGAGGTGGGTTTGGTAAGGTATACAAGGGACGGCTTGCAGATGGTTCGTTGGTTGCTGTAAAACGGTTAAAAGAGGAGCACACACCTGGTGGTGAGCTTCAATTCCAAACAGAAGTCGAGATGATTAGCATGGCAGTTCACAGGAATCTCCTTCGCTTGCTTGGCTTTTGTATGACACCCACTGAACGCCTTCTTGTTTACCCTTATATGGCCAATGGAAGTGTTGCATCGTGTTTGCGAGGTATAATGCGCCCGCTGACTTTATTCTCTTTTTTAGTTTTTTCCTTTAGTTACTTGATTCTCATTTTATATAAAAAATTATCGGGCTAATTTTTTAAGAGCGAGGTGGATTGCTTTCTTGTACACTTTAGTTTATGGCTGACATTTTGGGTTGGGTTTGTTTGTTCCTTCTTTCCGGTTTTGTTTTGTTACTTGTTCCTCTTTGCTTGGAAAAACACGATCATTTGAAAAATGTGATCTAATTTGCATGTTCTATCCTTCGTTTGTTTTTAGTTGCAACATTGATAAAGCAAAATGGATCACTAAACTATCTGCACATCTTTGTTAAGAAGTAACAGTCAGTCCATGCAATTTTCGACGTGATTTTCATCATGGGTCATCCAGAAACAGTCTCTCTGTGCTTTAGTACAGAGGTAAGGCTGCGTACATTTGACCCCCCCACCTAACCGTAGGTGGTAGCCTGTGTGGCACTGGGGTAATGTTGTTATTTGTTGTGTTATTGATAATTTCACTATTTACATGCTCTAGTTTGACTACATTTTATTTATTAATGTATGAGAATTATTATTTTGAAAAATATTGTGGAATTGACCTCACTAAAATTTCATAATATGATTTTCAATTTGTTTACTAATAGAGAATTAAATATAGTGACGACCAAAGTTGTGTGTTGTCAAGAGCGAAAGTGGGAATGTTGCAATTAAAAAAGAATGGGGGAAGTATATGGCCTAATCTTTTCAATCTTTTTGTTGTGGACTTGTGGTACTATGGCTGGAACCTTTTGTTCTGCTGTCTGAGCATTTCTGGTAAAATATGGTCTGAATGTTTACGCTCTTGTCTAATTTAACTGTCTAAAATGTCAAATATAAGATTTTCTTGTGTTCTAGTCTGGTACTCTGGTTCATTGCCAATAATAATATGTAATTGGTTCAAATATAAGTTGAAGAGTTAGCACCCTAGTTTGGTTCGGGATGGCTTTATTTTTTCCCTCGTTTTATTGGATTTTGATGGCGTTATGTTTATTTGGTTTGGTTTTAATTGTTTTCAGTTTGGTTCAGATGTATACCGTTGGGAAAACACTAAACTAAATCCAAATTTAGAGTTTGGTTTTTGTTCAAGTTAATTGGTTTGGTCAGACCAAAGTGAAATGCCACCCCTAATTTAGTTTGATTATTTTAGTAGGGAAGACAAATTGACTCCTAAACCACATGCTTATCATTCACTTATCGGAGTTTGTCATTGATTCTGGTAGAACGACCACCGGATGAACTGCCACTCGATTGGGCTACAAGGAAGCGCATTGCCTTGGGATCTGCAAGGGGATTGTCATATTTACATGACCATTGTGATCCAAAGATAATCCATCGTGATGTAAAAGCTGCAAACATACTATTGGATGAAGAGTTTGAGGCAGTTGTAGGAGACTTTGGGTTGGCTAAACTTATGGATTATAAGGATACTCATGTGACAACAACTGTGCGTGGCACAATCGGTCATATAGCGCCAGAGTGCCTATCCACTGGGAAGTCTTCAGAAAAAACTGATGTGTTTGGTTATGGTATCATGCTTCTAGAGCTTATCACTGGACAAGGAGCCGTTGATCTTGCCCATCTAGCAAACGACGATGATGTCATGTTGCTTGACTGGGTATGCACGCCTTCTTTTATACACCTTGTCTTATAACTACGGAACATGACTGATCTTATATCCATTTCAATACTATGTATCTTTGTACAAATTTGCTAGTTTATGAATATGTGCTATGCAATGAACATCTAGTTGTAGTTTAGCAGACCTTAAGTGGTTAAAGTTCATCAATCTGATTTGTTTAAGCCCTGGCTGAATATGCTATATAAAGTTTCCTTCATATTTCTTAAATAAAATAGATAAATAATATCTAAAATGAAGGTGTAAGTGTCATTTGCTTTAATTTCAACCATTTCAGTAAAGAAAAGTAACACATACATTACTCCCCCCCTCATCATAAGCTGTTTCAGAGATCATAGAGCAATAATTAATGTTTGGTTAAAAAACTGGCACATTATCTGAAAGGATGTTCACCAAACGAGCTTAAGATCTGTTTTAGGTGTAGTTTGGTAAGAGACTAAGAGTAATGCTGTAATGTAATGAAATTGTAATAAAATGCATGCTATCACGACCTACCATAGTACACCTAATAGTGTAAATTCTCATTGCGCATGCATTTATCACATGACATAGCTGTTTACCAAACTATGCCACTTTAGATATAACATGAGAAAGTGGTTATTGCATGGATAATGAGTTAATGACTATTGCCAGTCAATTCGTTTATACGTGCATCATTCATGTCAATTACAGTTTCGCAGTGCGTAAAAAGATGACGATTTATTATATATCTCTCTGTCTTTCTGTCCAGGTGGAAAAACTGCTCAAGGAGAAGAAACTGGAAGTGCTGGTTGATCCGGATCTGGCGAACAAGTATGTAGAAGGAGAGGTGGAGCAGCTGATCCAGGTTGCATTGCTATGCACGCGAAGCAGCCCAATGGATCGGCCCAAGATGTCAGATGTGGTGAGGATGTTGGAAGGTGATGGGTTGGCCGAGAGATGGGATGAGTGGCAGAAGGTGGAAGTTCTTCGGCAGGGGGTAGGACAAGCAGTACATCCTCTCTCCACTTCTGGCTGGACTGTAGACTCTACACAAAATTTACATGCCGTTGAACTGTCTGGTCCTAGGTGACCTTCAAGGCTCCTATTAACCTTGGATTTTTTTTAGAATCTTGTTATACGTAGTATTTGTTTAGGCGTTAAAGAATGGGCAATTAGCATGTTTTTTTTTCCTTCTTGCAAGCACTTTCTCATCAAAGTGTATTCTTTGTGTGTGTCAGTGTATGTAACAGCTATGTGCTAATAAACAAGGAAATATAACGTTTGAAATTGGTGATAAATTAGGCCATTATATATGTATATTATGTATCATATGTAATTCATAACTAGTATTAATAAAGTTATTTTTTTGCCAATAATTAAATAAATAAATCCATGACCGCATGATCTGTACTAGGATCCATGCACCAAAACTTTTGATTTTAATGCGTATTTTGTCTAGTAGTTTAGATTTAACTTTCTTTGTATAGATACTAATTATTTTAGACTTTTATTTGTGATTTGTGATCATTACCGTTATTAGGAATATGAGACACTTGTTCCTCCGATTATTTTGTGGTTCAGAAAATTGAATTTCTTTTTTTCCTTTTAATGTAATTTTTGATGAAAATTAGTCTCTCTATGAATTGATTGGTTTTTAACTTTTTATGGGATTTCTTCTTATCATCATGAGGTATATGAGACTCTTACTCTATAGCGTAATCCGCTTTACATTTAATAACGTGCTAATATATGTACCTAGTATTCCTTTATTTAAGTATGTAATATATATTTATCCTTGTTTCAAATATGGTTACATGAAAAATAGTACATATAAAAAATATTTAAAAGTATGTCCTTATATTGTTTATATTTATTTGTGTCCATATATAAATTTATACTCATACAAAGTTGCTTACGCATATAAAAGTATGCATTTATACCAAAAATTATGAGTGTTACAAATATAAAAAAATATTATTATAGAAAGTGAAATAAATAAGTAGAGGTAAATGTATGTATATACACTTAAACTAGAAAATATACCTCTAGTGAAGTTTGACTAGTATATACCCCATTTTAATATAAAACAAGAAATGATAATCTTTTCACAAGACTACGTACAAAACCATTTAATAAATACAACAATATATACTACAATATGTACGCACCTAACTTCTAGATGCCAATGAAATAACATGACATTTGGAGAGCATGCACACTATACAGAGACACTACTCCATGCATAGGCTAATAGACAAACAAATTGGGACACTCGTACAAGGTCCAATATATATGAAAGAACAAATTAAAACAATGCATAGCTAGTATTTATACATATATGTCTAATGATCATAACATTAACTAGCGGAGGAAAGAAGAGTTAGCATAAAATAAGCATCACACCCGGCCCGGTGCAGTGAACAAATAGATCATCACTAAAATACATGAGAGAAAGAGAAAAAAGAGGGAGGGAGCCGTGAGGAAGAAAAGGAGAAAGAAAATATTATCAAAAGTTTAAGGTTTGTGTTCATTCCTTCTTCTAAAGTATATGGTTAATTATATTCTAACATTTTATTTTTTATATCTTATGATTGTTTATCTTCGTATTTGTACTGCTTAACTATATATTAAGGTGTTTTGTTATGGTATTTCTTATTCCTTATGCTGTATTTAAATATTGATATACTATTTCTTTCAAAAAAATATTATTGTTGTAAAATTATCGACTTGACAAGTGTGAATTGTTCATCCTTATCACTAGGACACCAAGCTTTTCTCCCGATTCTTGTAATAAATTTTGTATCGTAACTAGTTAGAACAAATGACTCAATTTGTTATTGTCACCAAATATGTAGATTCATCCTTTGGATGACTAATCATCAAGCTCATCTACTATAAGTAGGAGCTTGATAAAGTCTTGTAAATTCATTCAGAAAATCTTGATATTAAGAAGTAATTTAGAGCTTATTATTAATATATCTATCTCATAAATATAGTCTTCATCTTCTCCAGAAATCATCTTTCTCCTGCAGGTATAAAAATTAATATATATACGTACGTTGTCTATAGTGAACATATTAACAAAATTACGTATTTTGTTTTTAAATAATTAAAAAGTATACTCCTAATAAAACAAAAGTTGCCGACTGTGTACGTAATGCAGTCAGCTTAAGACGGCTAGGGATGGGGAAAAATACCGAAATTTCGGTATACCGGACTTACCATATCGAAAAATACCGAATTTACCGAAGTGTTTGGTATACCGACACTTTTGGTACGGTATGATACCGTACCGAATTACTTCGGTATGGTATCGGACTATCGGTATATATTTTGGAAATAAACGGTATACCGTTATACCGTCATACCGTAATTCCAAGCCAATAGTTTCTTTAGAATTATAAAAATAACTAGAAACACAACATTAATTCAAGGATAATGACTTTATATCCATGTTCTTGAATTATTTATACTTTTTGTTGGAAATCGATGTTATTTCAAATATATTTAGGTTGTTTAAATTATTATTTTAACAGAATGTGTTGTTATCTTCATATATCATGTGTTGAAGTATTCGTACATATTTATAATATTTTTTTGTTCAAAGTTGAATAGAACACAAATAGGTTATCATTGGCATTTTATAATTAATTTCATTAATAATTTTAGTATATCACTATTAACACTGATTTTCTATATTTCATTTGATATATAATAATTTGATATTAAATCATGATAATTTACCGATACCGTAGCTTACCGTACCGAAATTTCGGTATACCGAAACAAGGTATACCGAAATTTAGGTATGGTAACGGTATGTATTTTTGCATACCGAAAGTTTACGGTATGGTAAAGATATGAGATAAAATCTTCGGTATACCGTACCGAACCACCCCTAAAGACGGCAGCAGTGGCGGAGGGAGGGGAGGGCCACACTGGGCCCTGGCCCAGGGTAGGTTGGACTAATTTCAGTTAGTAATATTAAAAATAAAGAAAGAATATAAGCGGCCCAGGTAAAAAAAATGTCGGCCCAGTGTCCCCCGCATGGCTGACTCACTTGTGAGTTGTGAATTTGTGATATGAAAAAAGGAGGCCATGTGTCAAAGTAGGAGTGTGTGCCCGTGTAATAAAAGAACGAAAGGAGGAAAAGAATCAAAACAACATTTTTAAAAGGAAAATGACACGTAGGCCTTAATCCTTAGGCAAGCAATCAAATCTTGACCAATTCTTTTTAAAAGGAATTAACCTTTAGTGAAGCAACCAAACGCTGACCTTGTTAGAGTAATTTTATAACCCCAATTTATGAATTATGAATGAGAGAATTCCTAAATATGAGTAAAAACGTTTTAAAATTCCAAAGTAGGAGTATCATGAATAGGAGTAAATTTCTGCCAAGTTTGACATTACAAAGTTTTTAAACATGGTTTTTTTTTTAAATTTGGCAGATTACTTCTATTCAGGGAATAAATAACATGATACTCCTATTTTGGAATTTCAAAACGATTTTACTCTTATTTAGAAAAATTTCTGATTATGAATTGTGTGTCAATCTATTCCTTCATAACTTGCAAGAGTTATTATTTTTTTTGTAATATATTGTCAATTTCTAACCATAATTTATATGTGATATGTGATTTGTTTATATTAATTGAATACAAAATCATTCTTGTCTTATTAAATTGTTACGGAGTATTACATTTACTTTCAATTCAAATAATGTGTAATGATTTTTGTAAAATATTTTGATTTAATAGAAGAGAGATTATGGCACTCAATGGCCTCCTTCAAGGAAAATTAAAGTAACTGTACATTTTTTTTGCTCTAAAAAATTTTGCATTACTTTTTAAGATTGGCTACCGGTGTAGAAAAGTGAAAGTACTAACGAGCACCAAATTGACCAAAGTTTTCCTAATGTTGAAAATCATTCATCTTCTATTTTGGTAGAGATTGAAAGAGATCTAGGAAAAAAAAATCTGATTTGCCTTTAGACAAAAAGAATTAAGTGAGGCAACAATATTTAGAAGCTGTTCTCTTCGCCTGATCTGAATGTTTCTGATCTGAATTTTTTAAGTTCTGATCTGATCTGATCTGAATATTTCTGATCTGATCTGATCTGAATCTTTCTGATCTGATCTGAATCTTTCTGATCTGATCTGATCTGAATCTTCCTGATCTGATCTGAATGTTTCTGATCTGGTCTGATCTGAATCCTTCTGATCTGATCTGAATCCTTCTGATCTGATCTGAATCTTTCTGATCTGAACTGATTTGAATATTTCTATGATTATAATTATAATTATAATTATTATAATTGCAATTACAAATATAACTTAAATAAAATTATAATTATAATCGTAACTATAAAAATAATAATAATAATTAAAATTAAATTTAAAATGAAAAAATTTATACATATTACACTAATTATAAATATAGATATAATTATAATTGTAATTATATTTTTAATTATAATTACTTATATAATTATAATTGTATTTATAATTACAATATTTATCTCTATAATTGTAACTATAGTTATCAATATTATTATAATTACTCCGTAAAATAATTACAATAGAAACAATAATAATAATAATAATATTAATAATTATAATAAAAATAATAATTATAATCATAAATTATAACTATAATATAATTATAAGTATATTTATAATTAATAATAATTATAATTATATTAACATTAATTATAATATTATAATATAATAATAGTAATATAAATACAATTAATATTATTATAACGATATTAGTATATTAATATTATTATTAAAATAACATATTATTATTATTATTATTAGTATTATATTATTATAATATTATATTATAATTATAATTATAATCATAATTATAATTATGATTGTAATTATAATTATTATAATTATAATTAATTACAATTATAATTATAATTAATTATAGATATAATTATAATAATTACAATTGTTATACTTATAATTATAAGAATTATAATTGTAAGTATAATTATAATTACATATAATTACAATATAATATTATAATAATATTAATCATATTATTATTATTATTATTATATTGTAATAATAATAGTCTTCTTAATAATTGCATTTATATTACTATTATTATATTAAAATATTATAACTATATTAATATCTTATTTTTTTATCATATTATTATTAATATTATTAATAATAATTATATAATAATAATCATAATAGTAATAACAATATTAATAATAATAATTAATATAATAATAAAAGTGATAAATCATGTTTGAACTTTTCTGATATGATCTGATCTGATCTGAATGTT